TCTGCGCTTCGTGGGCAATAGAGCGTCGAAAAGCCACTGCTTCGCGGGCGTCTGTACCCAGCAGAGTCGCTGCTGGCGAAGGCGGGGACTCGTACTGGTGTTTCATGGCCATCTGTCTGTTGTAGTAAGTCTAGTCCCGTCTCCATCCATGCGATATTTTGAAGCTTTATCGGCATGTGACCCGTGAAGTCCGAGCATCGATTATGCAAATAATGTGCCGAATGGGCCTACCAGGGGGGCTGCGTAAGCTCCTGACAGGACTGTGGTACGTAAGGTTGTAACATTCACGTGCCCTAAGTATTGAATGTTTGGTGGTGTTCAATGTTGTGGTCCATATGTGATTCAACGATGTCTTTACTTCGTCTTCTTTCCAAACACCTTCGGCTTTAAGCCCTCCGCAAAAAAGGAGGCCCAAGGCTCCCAAGCCTTTTTCAAATGTGAAACCAACGCCGGCGGAACCTGGAATCGATTCAGGAGTCATGGCTTTTCTGGACTCGTGATGCAAGTAACCCGACTTATTTCGCAGCTTAATCAGACTCAATTTCGTTTTGTTAGTTGAAAAAGCCTTGGGGATTCGAGCTAGGATTTGGACCTCCGCATAAGATGAACATTGATTAAACTCGAACTCAAATGGCATTGCGAACGTGGGATTCGGACTCAAACTCAACCAAAAAGAACCATAGAGGCTTCACACAGGCTTAAACGCAGGTCTCGAACTTTCACTCAAGACGGAGGGACTCCGGGTCTGACTCGGTTGGCTTCCAGACAAGGACCTATGCTTCCAAGCACGAACCTATAGGCTACCCTCCACTAGCTCGCAAGAAAGACTCTCTGTTCACGTGTCGTATCGATGCCTTGCCATTGTCATTGTTAGACCACAGTGGATGCCACAAACTACGAGGATAAATTTGTTTGTGAACTAAACTTCTCGTCCGAACAGCGGCAACTGTTGGGACTAAGCAAATTAGTGTGAACTATAGAAAGGTGTGATAGCTGCAGTGTTACCCAGAATCACGTCGTTTACGGGACGAAAGCCACGTATAGAACTGTGTAGCATGCTATTTCGTCGAGTATACTAAAGTATCCTTGACAATAGCTTCGCAACAGCATTAGCAACTAGCTGAGTCGAAATGCTGGATTATGCAAGCTTTGCCGAGAAGTCCTCGGGCCTACTTGCCTTATAATCGTGGCTAATCCGTGCGGAATATTGCCAGCACTTGCGCCTTGTCAAAGCGCCCTCAGGAGGAATGTGTGCCCCCACACGCTTAGCTCAAGCCTCTGTCCATCAAAGCCATTCATGCTACACTCAAATAGCGCCAATCAATCAAGCTAACGGTCGGACACGCTAATGTGGGCCTGGAGGAGTGGCGCACCGGACTGACGCCGAACACGCGTGCCGCCGATCAGTGTTGGTCCGCCGAGACCCGCGCACCGGCCGAGGGACCTGCCCGAGGGAGCCCGCACAGCCCGACCGAGGGTTCTGAGGGAGCCCGCACAGAGCGGGCGTGGGTCATCCGAGGCAAACCGCACAGACCGGCCGAGGGTCTTCTGCGGGAGCCCGCACGGGACGGGCGAGGGCCGTCCGCGGGGGCCGTCCACGGGGGCCGTCCGCGGGGGCCGTCCACGGGGGCCGTCCACGGGGGCCGTCCGCGGGGGCCGTCCACGGGGGCCGTCCGCGGGGGCCGCCCGCGGGGCCGTCCACGGGGGCCGTCCGCGGGGGCCGTCCACGGGGCCGTCCGCGGGGGCCGCCCGGGGGCCGCCCACGGGGGCCGTCCACGGGGGCCGTCCAGGGGGCCGTCCACGGGGGCCGTCCGCGGGGGCCGTCCACGGGGGCCGCGCGGGGGCCGCACGGGGGCCGTCCACGGGGGCCGTCCCGGGGGCCGTCCACGGGGGCCGTCCGTGGGGGCCGCCCGCGGGGGCCGCCCACGGGGGCCGTCCGCGGGGGCCGTCCACGGGGGCCGTCCGCGGGGGCCGTCCACGGGGGCCGTCCGCGGGGGCCGTCCGCGGGGGCCGTCCACGGGGGCCGTCCGCGGGGGCCGTCCACGGGGCCGTCCGCGGGGGCCGTCCGCGGGGGCCGCCCGCGGGGGCCGTCCGCGGGGGCCGTCCACGGGGGCCGTCCGCAGGGGCCGTCCACGGGAGCCCGCGCAGACCGGGCGAGGGTCATCCGATACAAATCGCACAGACCGGGCAAGGGCCGTCCGCGGGGGCCGTCCACGAGAGCCCGCGCAGACCGGACGCCTGAAGCGAGCGCCTGGTGCGGCCGCAGCGTCAGCGGAGACGACTGGAGCCGAGCAGGAGCGCCTCCGGGCGCAGACATCTAGGGCAGCATAGAGCTTGAAATTAAGGTTCTTGGTGGCATTTGAGGCCCTATCAGCCGCGGCTCGCTGTGAAAGGGCATCATATCTCTTGTACAGCCCATGATCGTCGCGTTGTTGGCGGTGCAATGAAGCCGGCCGCCGTCGGCTGTCGCATTTGGCTTGACAGACTGAACGTGGTGTCATTGCCACCACGGCACCCGGATGCCATTAGGTTTCTGTTTCGGCTCTGTCGCTCGACGGCGTCCTCGCTCGATCTGTCGCTGTTTGCATCAGGCGGCTCTCATCTTCAACATCAGAGGGCTTCGCACCGCGGGGCCTCCCGCCCGCCGACTGCTGGTCAATAAATGCCCGCTGGCGCCGGCTGTGTGGCTTCGCGGCCGGACGGCCGGCGAAAACACGGCCTCATTGAACACCATCGGCCGGCCGACAGCGGATGGAGCGGCTGGTGACCAACGGGCCGGGCGCTGACCCTCGACGGACGACGTCTAGCCGCTCGACACCCAGGCGATGGTGGCCGGCGTCGGGGCCGGGGCCGGGGCTGGGCCGGGGCCGGGGCTGGGCCGGGGCCGGCGACGGCACGGGTGTTAGAAACATCGGTCGCCGTTGTGGGAGCTTCGCGAACAAAACAAGCGTCTTTAGAAATGAAGGTGATTTGTTTGGCGTGCGTCGTTAAGAGCCGCTCCAGACACTTGTCGCGTGGCGAGCTGACCCTCTCAGTAGTTCAATTTGACGGCTCAGCATTATTCCGCCATGTTTGGCGTGCTGCCGCGCTTGACCGCGGATCAGCCGATGCCTCGCCATGGGACAGCATGCCTCGTCCGGACACCGACAGTGAGTGCCGAGTGCCGGTCACATCCGAAGCCTGTGAGAGGTCAACATCATCAGCGGCAGTCGAGCTCTTTGTTTAACTTGTGACATTGACTAAAACCGACATATCCCAATACGCAGGTACTGAAAAGCATTGCGGCTTGCGTCCACATACTACAAAACCCTGTCCTTACTCCAATGTCCCTAGTACGTGTTCGATGCGCCCACGTTTCCGGTGAAATCCGCTTCGCGTTAGTGATGTGGGGCTACGTGGCAGCCTGCCCCAGCGGCGGTGCCTGCAGCTGTCGCCCCAGCAGCGGTGCCTGTGGCTACCGCCCTCCAGCGGCGGTGCCTGCGGCTGCATGCCCCAGAGGTGGTGCCTGGCGCTGCCTCCCCAGAGGTGGTGCCTGGGGCTGCCTCCCCAGCGGCGATGCCTGCGGCTGCCGTGCCTGCGGCTGCCGCCCCAGCAGCGGTGCCTGTGGCTTCCGCCCTCCAGCGGCGACACCGGCCGTCTTACGGCGGTCGCCGCGACGCAGTGCTCCGCCGCGCGGCCAGACGGCAGTCTGCCGACAACCGCGCCCGCCCAGCAGTCGGGTTTTGAATATTGGGTTTGGCGTGCGGCTCGGCCGAAATCATAAATTGAGTCCGGAATTGCCCCGCGAAACGGCGCCGAATCACCTGCAATAAATCGGCTGGCGGGCGGGCCCGCTCCGCTGAACCGTGCTGAGGGGGCCGGCACGCGGCGCGGAAGACAATCGCTTCCGCCGCGACGCGGAGGAACAGGCCCGCCGCTGGAGAACAGTGGCGCCCGTCCTGAACACCGAGGCGTCTCGGCATGGACGATGTTGTGATGCGAGGTAGAAATACGTTTACGCGAGACAGTCCCTTTTTTAAATGTTGTGATAGCCATAGAAAGACATGTTTATGGGTCAACTGGAATGTAAAGCATGCGAAAACGAAAAAATGACTTTGCCCGACGCTATGTTTCTACTTACGCTAGGTTAATAATTACGCATTTCTCTTAACATCGTGCCGTGTTTCGTCATATTTTGGAAGGATTCTGTTCATGAAAACACTTCGTTGTTGAAGGGCTTGGAAGTTGTTTTTTAAAGATATCCTAGTTGTTATGCAAATCAGTTCAGGAACTTTCGCACCACTGCATGCCTCGCGTTTATTGGTAACTTAGATGTTCATATTATCCCTCTTTTCGCACCCACGCCAAATTTAAACCATTCGAGCAGCTGGATTTTCGTTCCCGCTCCAGTCGAGCGTCATGCATAGATAAGAGCAGTCGACTGCTGCGTGGCCCTACTCAGATGCCCTGGGTTTTTATCAATGTTTTCCCTGTTCAATTAATGCTGTGTTTAAATGCATATGGTAACCCACGGGATGAAACGCTGCTGAGATGATAAAATGCTAGGGTCGGGGCCACACTAGCATGACAGGGGGTGTTAGCCTCATTCTGGCGTGATAAGGAAAGACCGGGGTTTTCCAGCTCAAACAGGTATTAAACGGTACTGTGAGTTCCAACTAAACGTGCTTCGGTTGGCATATCCGACGGCCTGTTTACCCGCAACTTCAAAGGGTGTTTGCCTTTCACTGTGCTTCAGACTTCCACGCACAGCTATTTGTTGGATGTTTGCTGTCCTCACTCCGCCAACCGCGATGTCTCATTAGACATGCGCCAAGCTTTATTGTATCAGTTTGTCAAGAGTCATTTTACCTCAGTAATGCATGACGTTACATGTGTAGCCGTGGTGCTCAGGTAACGCGCGGGGCAATCTCCCACGGTGGCATCCGTCACGGCCGTGCCGGCGCTCGCCGGCGCCGCCGGTCTGTGCCAGCGCCTCACTGCTTGCCGCCGTCGGCCTCCAG